AGAATGGTTGTTCATAAACGTTATCAGACTTTTAGGATTGATGACTACAAAAACAAACAAAAGACTTTTGATGGAAAAGGTAAAAACCAAATCCCTTTCAAGGAGTCAAATGTCATATATGTCACAAGCTAAACCATACAACCTACAAGTGTAGAGCCAGGTTTAACAGATTTTCATTCAGAAAAGAACTCCCCTACTACATATACTACTTCTATAGGGTCAGTGATTGACAATAGTTGGTACTCAAATTCAGGTGCTAGCCATCATATGTCAGCTGATCTTGCCAATTTGCACTTGCAATCTAAATACTGTAGGCTAGAACAAATCACTATTGGAAAATGAGAAGGTTTGTCAATTAAACACACTAGGTTTGCTATTATTTCTTCACCATCACATTCCTTTGTTTTGAATGATATTTTTCATGTACCTAAGATTTGCAAAAACTTGTTGTCAGTATCTAAATTTGCTAAAGATAATAATTGTTACTTTGAATTTCACTAAGACAAATTCTTTGTGAATGATCAACAAACAAGGAAAGTCATATTGTAGGGGTGCAGCAGAGATGGTCTTTATGAGTTACAAGCAGAAGCAAGTAGAGTATCTAATCAAGACCCTCCTCTCTCAACATTCTTGTGAGCTCCGGGAAGCTCATGGCTAGCTCAAAATGGTTTGGAGTCGCCACCCATTTTTTAGAGGAAATGGGCCCTCATTTTCAGTTATGAAAAAAATTGATTTGAGTCTTTGATAGAGACTCTATTTTCCATGGGAAAGGTATACAATCAAGAGATTTTGGATTCCAAGGATCAGGAAAGGGAAGCTATTAGGCACCCCTCTCTCCAAGCTGCTATAGCAGCCCGATATGGGAGTTATTCAGACTCAGCTTCAAACAGAAATCGTTGCAATAATTTCTTAGATCCAGAGGAACATGCTTTCAACTTCTCCTAGGACTGATTTTGAGGTGATGTTATCGGGTCTTAGGTACTAATTTTCCTAAGGCCCTCGCCTCTCTGCCTCTACTCTCAGTCAAGAAGGAATTGCAAGTCAAGTTTCTTCAACATTTCACAACCTCAAGCAACCCAGAAAAACTAAAAAAGAGACTCACCTTTTTGTATGTACCTTGTCGGAACATTTCCAATAGCTAAAAGGACTTCAAACGAAACTTGAGTAAGGCATAAAACTAAGTTGAGCTTTTTGGTGTTAAGTTTCGAATACAGGAGATGAGGCTTTGGTTTGACTTTATGGACTTCGGGATTTTAAGTAGAACATGTGGGTTACAGAAGTTGGAAAACTACCCTCTTCCCCTCTTCTTCTTCTCTTTTCTATGGCCTCTCTTAGGTTTCCTTTCCTCCCTCTCTTCCGTCCCCCTCTTGAGCTCA